ACGACTCCAGCTCCATCTATACAGAGTTTCTAGATGTCTCGACTGCAGCGCCATCTGTTGGGCCCTTTTTTTATAAACTGCAAATTTAATATAAAACTAATACCCATTATGACTAGGGATTTTCTAAATATCTCGATTCTAACGTGATCTCGCGGCTCTATTTAAAGTTTAATTGAAAACAGAACAGTTGTCGATGCATAGATTAGGTTGGATCCAGCCCTCAGTCTCGGAGGCCTTTGTAATACACCAGGATCAGCTAGCGATTTTACTTACAGCCGTTGAGCCTGTAAAAATTCAAAGATTTGTAATCAGTTCCTTAATGAAGTGAGGGAAAAATGTTTCAGCCCATCGTCTAAGAAGTTATCGACATTAATCTAAGAAAAATTATAGATTTTCACTCTCTTCCTTCTCCTGCTGGATTAATCGAGTCAAGAATCACCTTACCTGGTTTGGATCATCGAAACTATGCGAATATTCTATACAACTATATTGATGGAAATTCGTTGAAAAATTTGCCAATCACTTGGCTGTGCCTTGCCGCTACGCTGAGCTGCGCTGGTTGAATAGTTAACTTTGTTAAATTTCTGAATCAATTATAGTTACAAAGTGATGTTTTGCCTAAATAAACTGCAGGTGCTTAAGTTACTATAATTCCCTTATAAATACTTAAATAAGAATTTCAAACTGCGGCAAGCATGTAAATTTCTTGGGAGTATTTTAACAATTCAATGTGGCATATAAAAAATTCAGCAGTCTTGCAAAAAAAAACTTTTTTAATGCATTTGCACTATGCACGCAGCTAAAGAAGGCGCACCTAAATTTTTAATTTCGGTTGAAAGCCATAATCTCATTATGCGCCATCGAAAGATTACTTTTCGATGCCAACAACCAAACAAAAAAAACGGCAATGAAATGCATTCGATGGCAGCAGCGCTGCAATAGAAAAGGGATTGGCTTGTAAATTTTTAAAGAACCAACTGAGCAGCTGACTGAGCGGCAAAGGCACACAAATCACAGCGATTGATGCCACATGCCATCGGGGCAAGCGTAACTCTTCTTTGGAGTGTCTAACAAACCGCTACACTTGCAGAACGCATCGATTACAGTGGCAACAGTAATGGGCATAGACAACTTGTGGGGACTGCAAGTACCTTACTGAGTAGTTTCTAAGGTGCAAGTAGCATTGCTGCTACCTGCGTGCCGCCACCTTAACTGCAGGTACTATTTATACGGCTATATGTACATATATTACTTTTGATACTCTCTTCACTTCGCGCCAGTCGCTGTTTCTCGCTCATAAGAATAGCAAAGAAGTTTCAAATTTAACGAGAAAGAATTTCCACATCATCAAAGCTCATTCCAGTCGATAAATTCTGTGATAAATGTATGGGCCAATCGCATACATTTAGGCGCAAGAGCGTATAATCAGGCGCACACAAAGTAACGTACATATGTACATTAGGGTGGTCCAAAATAAGTAATGTCGGAATTTTAATGCTCTCACCCCCTAGGATTGTTCTATAAGCGAAAAATAATACCCCAATTTTTATTTTGAATAAAAAATTATTTAGAGGTCACTCAAAGCGCTCAAAGCTGTCCATGTATTTTATATGGAAAAAAAAACACTTTTCATAGAAATGGTATAGATTTTTTGAAAATTTATATTTTTCGATAGGAAAACTCTGGTTCTCTTCAGGAGACTTCCAATCACAATACACAATTGTTTATTTCACCATTTTTTAATACTTAAGTTTTGTTTATTTATCCCCCATTGCATTTTCTGAGGGTTTTTCCGGTTAAATAAATAATTGGGTATTATTAATGGCATTATCCTGAAGAGAAACAGAGTTTTCCGATCGAAAAATATTGATTATCAAAAATTCTATACTGTTCCTACAAAATGTGGTTTTTTTTTTAATATAAAATACATGGAAAACTTTGAGCACTTTGAGCGACCTCTAAATATTTTTTGATTTCAAAATAAAAAATATAGGTATATTTTGTTCGATTTAGAACAATCCGACTTTACTTTTTCACATGCATTTTTGGGCCACCCTAATGTACACACATACATACACACATATGTACACGATTCAAAGACAAACCAAAGTGGTACGATTAATGCAAGTAGTTAGCTAAAGTAGTGACCAGCCAGCGCAGGACGTTTTTTTTTCATAAATTTTACTACAAAAATTACTCCCGCGAGCAAGTAAGTGCGTACATCGATAAAATCAATAAGGCGTATAGGTTTATCAAATCTATATATTAAGCTTTCATAGGTGCTCTTTAAATTTATTTATAGAAAATCAAAACTGTTTTCTTTTCCAAATACTGATTTTCTTCTGAAAGTGTGTTCTTTTGTAATTGCTAAAAAAGGAAATTCGCTTGGTTTTAATCTTCGGAAGACGTGAAAATCTTATCATATTCCTACCCTGTCGGCAACAACAACAACCAAAAACATCTGTATTATCCCTCTTTACAAGACCAAGCTCATCTTTTGGGCTATCGATGATTTTTATGCTAGCTATTGGCTGGTCACAAATGCTGAATGACGTGATTTGTTCTAAATTGGATTAGGCCCAATGATTGGATTTACGGATGGTCACCTGAGTTATTCGAACTCCCCTTGGAGAATGTGCCTCTATCCAGTTTCTATATGTCCTACAAAAATATCAGGTTAGCATAATAACAGTATAGCATATGCAGTCATGAACGAGGTATAGTTAAAAAACATTCTTAATAGGTGTCATGAGAAGGCGCGCAAATTTGGTAGTTGATACGTATTGGGCGGTGCTTTCCCTGCCTTGCCTCCAGCTTCGTACAGAACTGGGCCAAGGTGAGGAAGGCAAATTGGGTCCAACAGTCAGAAAATAATTGCCTACAAGACAATGTCTCCAATGACGGATATAGACTGATCGATCTCGCCACTCCACGCAGCTTTGTAGTTAGTAGATCTTAGTGCAAATGCTCCATAAAGCCACTTGTATATTCCATGATCAAAGAACGCAATTAACGTTCAAGCATTTTTAACGTACGTTCCATAATTATCCCATTACGATACGAGTAACAGGCACAAATGCGACCCGCAACTTTGATTAGAAAATAAACCAGTAAACCAATGGCTTCAAGATCACAGTTTTACCCTACTATTTAGCCGACATCAAGAGTGTACTTGAAAAATAATGCGGGCGAATGAATCCTCGACTCAACACGTATGCCCTGAGAATTGCTTTCGTTCCGGAACATAATTGAAAGAAATACCAAGTACAGAGAGACCAGTAAACACTTACGGTGAACAAATGACGGAGCATCACAACTAGCTAGAAACGGAATAAGTGGACCTTTTTTAGTCTCAGCCCAAATCAATAAAAGATTGTTGAGCGATGAATTCCATAGAACAGTTGCAACAACTTCAAAGTAAAAACAAAACGCAGTGGGGAGATGGCATCCCTTTATTCTTTGGGCATTGGTGTGTAGCCTGGAAATAAGTCTGGCGGTGATCGCTCATCATTAGAGACCCACGTGGGGAAAAGGGAAGCTCCGTATCTTATTTATCTTCTGCTTCGTTTCCTTTAATCCCAAGCGGGACATAAGGCATCAGCTAAGTCTGCGCGCCGTCTGGTTTGGTTTCAGGCAATCGCTTTGAGCTTCTTCCAGATTAACCCTAGCTTCTTCGTCTCTTGATCGACTGTTCTTCTTCATGTTTTGCGCGGTCCGCTGGGAGGCCTTCATCTTTCGAATAGGGCATTCCATTGTAAGGCCTTATTTACAATACTGCCACCTTCTTTGCACAATGTGTGGCCTATCCGTTTCCATTACAGTCTTCGAATCCACATTTCAAGGAGCTTCGTGCTAGACTTTCTAAGCAACTTCTCTTTTTAGATTGTTTTAGCCCAACAAATTCAGATACTCGAAGACATCTTTTTAGTAAAACTTGCGGGCGCCTGGTTATTGCAATAATGACATAACATTTTTTTATTGACGCCCCCATAAATTTACGCACCGCAAGCGCTCCAATCTCCACTTAATCACTTTAATTCAATCTCTGAAACGTAAAAGGCTCAAAGCAAAAGCGCCTAAAATTATGCAATTATTTTAAATTTGAAAATACAACTAAAAAGCCAAGGCTCGTTCGGTGGAGGCTCTTTGTGGCAGACCGACCCCCACCGTATGCCAATAAAGTATTTATGTGCGATTATAATCATAATTAGCTGACATCAGACTCATTAACACGCAAATTTTTCTCGCCTGCCATAGAATGGTGCCCCTTAGGATGGGAAGATGGTATTGGGTAACGTAGAAAGCAAACAGGAAAGAGGGTAGCAGCAGTTGGTGAAGTGTGGTGTTCAAATTAGCTGTGCAAACTGACTGAATTGAAGCCCCACGGTCGCTGAACAATCACGCATTGGGCTTTCCATATCATTGCCGCTGTGGCAGTGAGTTGAGGTGCGGAATACTGCACCGCCTGCCTGCCTGCCTGCCTGCATGTTCACAATTGATTGCTGCGGTTTTGCGTACAAATTCAACGCGCTTGTAATTTTAATTGCCTGTCAAATTTTTAACACCTCCATGCAGTCGCATGCGTCGGCAAACATATTGGCTATTTGTCAAAAAAGGAAATTTTTCAAATCAGTGCACGAGCATACATTTAGGCGCATTGGCATACAGAGAGAAAAATATATATAAAAAAGGCCTAAACTGCCGCTCACAACAAACCGCCCAATAAATTGTACATACTCATCCATCAGCTGCGTAGTTATGCCAGCAGTCGTCCCTCACATTGCTGCTGCCTCCGACCGCTTCACCAATTTTAATTCATTTAATTGAGCTGCCAATATTTGACCAAAATGTAATTAACAAAGCAGCTTTTGCGGGCCGGTATGGGCGGTAGGCGGCGAAAGTGCTTCCGCGTTTATTGACAGTTATTGCGCTCATATTTGTATTTACCTTTGTAGTTTTGTTTGCCAACACTGGTAGAGCGCTCGCCCGCTCGCTCCTACGTCATTGATTTGTTGTAAATAGCACTCAGCCATTTTTTTTCGCTTGCAACTGTTCCTTGCTTAATTCGCGGCGGTTTAAAATTTTCTATGTGGTCAAAATTTATATTTCGCTTGTAATTGTTTGCAATTCAATTATTTATTTGAATTCTATTGTTTGAGGTGTTCTTTCTTTGATTGCAATTTCGATTGCAAATATTTTCGAATTGAGATGCTTGCAAACAGAAATTCTGCCTTGATTTGGAAATTGAATTTTGTTTTTGTTTTTTTTTGAAAAAAATTTCCGAAATTTTTCCACGTATGCTTTTTTAAAAGTTAGTTTTAAAATTTGCTTATTTAATATTATTAAGCCTTTCAGGACCTAGGGAAACATATCACAAAAAAATTTACTCCACTCATAATGAAACTGTGTACGGTCAAGAAACTTTAGAAAAATTATGTTTATCAAAATTAGAAAACTTTATCAATGCAAGAATTTAAAAAAAAATAAGGGTAGGTATAGAAAAAAAGAGATTTTTAATAATTTTTTAGGAAAAAAATTTCCCAAAAAAACATAATTTATGATAAAACAGTTTTTTAGGAAATAAATACAAAAAATTTACCAGACATTACAGACAAATATTTTGTGGAGAAAAAAAATATCTTTGCAGTTAAAGTAATTTTTTTTGGAAAAAATTATTTTTGGTAATAGATGATAGTTTCGAAAATAAAAAACAATTTAGGGTATAGAAAAAAGAGGTTTTTACAATTTTTTTTTTTTGTAAAATTTTACCGAAAAAATATAATTTAGGAAAAAAAACATTTTTTTAAGCAAAATATGTTTACTCGAAATAGAAAAAGTATACCAGATATTAGAGACAAATATCTTGTGGAGAAAAAAAAAATTGTTTCAGTAAAAATTATCTATTTATTACGGAAAAAATTATTTTTGGTAATAAAAATTTCGAAAATGAGATATTTTTTTAGTAAAATAGGCTAATAGGTAGTTGTTTGGGAAAAAAATTATATTTGGGGAAAAATCAATTTAAGATTTTTACGAAAAAATATTGTTTCTTTTTCCACGATCGAAACTCTTTTGAGGGTTGCAAAGGGTCCGTTTAGGTGTACTATATCGCTGGCCCCTAAAGATTACCCAGGAGTGAAAAATTTTACAAAAATTGCTAAATCCACAAAATGGAAGATCGATTCCACCACAACCAAATGCCTTAATTAAATTCAAGAAAAATCTGGTTTCTATTTATAAAAAACTAAACTTTTTTTATTCGATAAGTATTTTGAATTCGAATGGATAAAATCATCATCATGCATCCAAACAAAAGGAAATTAATAACGACGTCTGTAGACGCGACGACGAACAGTCTTGTAACGGTAACCATCAGGAGCATGATGCTCAATTTCCTCAGTTGGTTCAACAACTGGAGTTGGAGCAACATATTGCACTGCAGCTGGAGCTGGTGCTGGTGCAGGTGGAATGTAAGATGGAGTTGGTACATGGACTGGAGCTGGTGCTGGTGCTGGAGCGGAGTAATGCACTGGAGCAGGTTCTGGAGCTGACACATGGACTGGAGCTGGAGCGGAGTAGTGCACTGGAGCTGGGGCTGGGGCTGGAGCGGAGTAGTGCACGGGAGCTGGGGCTGGGGCTGGAGCGGCATGGTACACTGGAGCTGGTGCTGGTGCTGGGGGAATGTAAGATGGAGCTGGCACATGGACTGGAGCTGGGGCTGGAGCTGGGGCAGCATAGTGCACTGGAGCTGGAGCGGGAGCAGCTACATGAACTGGAGCTGGGGCTGGAGCTGGAGCAGCATAGTGCACTGGTGCGGGGGCTGGAGCTGGAGCGGAGAAGTGCACTGGAGCGGGAGCTGGAGCTGGCACATTAACATGAACTGGAGCTGGTGCAGGTGCTGGTGGCACGTAGGTGCGGTCAGGCTGTGCTACGGGTGCGGGTGCAGGGGCTGGGGCAGCAAAAGACACAGGTGCAGGTTGCTCGTAGCTGTAGCCCAATTCTGAGACATCAGCGCTGGCGCAAGCCAAGATGGCAGCAAAGGCGACGAGGAAGAATTTCTGCAAAGAGAAGAAATAAGAGTTTTAGAAAGAAAGGAAATTTAAGTATATATTTAGTACTGCTTCAAAGATAAATATTTCATTGTCAATAGTTAAATTTCAGTGATTCTCGTATAATTACGCTTAAAGTTTCTTTTTTTTTGATTTTTCGAAAGCAATAGGAATTTTTGGGAAAGTAAACAAAAATTGATCTTATTAAATTCGTAAAAAATTATTACATGAACTTGAACGACCGAAATTACAATATGACAAAAAATTAGGTTTTAATAACGCAACACGTTTCGGACGTCTTGTCAGCTTCCGAATTTTATAATTTTTATTATATTTTTGTTTGAAAATCACGTTTTAACAAACACCGAAATAATAATAGTATAAATATTGTGTTCCAAATTCTAGGTTTTGACGAAATTTTGTTAAATTAGTTGAAAACTGAAGCCGAGTACGATTCGAACTTATTCGGAGTTATAAAATATGTTACTTATTTAGGAAAAATATATATATTTTGTTCTTAATTTTTTATTTAAATGTATTGTATAGCCCTTGCGAAAAAGTTCGCATTGAGCTGGAGCTCGAAATTTTGCATCAAAATTAATTTTTGACTTAGTTAGTGCGTTCCAGAACGTCTACGATTTGCAGGTTTTGCAGGATTTAGCCCAAAGTGGTTCCCGTACGCCACGTTCACATACGGTTTATTAAAAGCGAAAACAGCTGTTCCTGTAAAACCTGCAAATCCTGGTGTACGGGAATAGGCTAAACGTTACTGTGGCTTGGTTTGATCACAAAAATTAATCCTCCGCTAGTTTTAGCACACTTTAAAAAGTTGAACACTTTTAATGTACTCATTTTCACCGTTTTTTACACAAATTTTATTTTAGTTTTTTTTATATTATTTTTGTTCTAAGTAATTTACCATTTTGTAAGTTTAGCTAACTCCGTTCACAGCGTGTAAGCGTTTGATTCCTTCTACACCAAATGCTCGGCTTTTATAGCACTGACCACGCATAGTTTTCAAAGTATAATTAGCTTCATCCAAAACCAAAAAAAAAATAATTAAATTAGCAAAAATTCGAAAGCCAACAAGTTTAGACCTAATTTTACAGATAAAAAAAAACAGTGACGATAATCCGCCAGATGTCTTGAAACCAGTATTTACTAAACCTTAATTGAAAGATGACCAAAAATCAAAGCGGAATTCTCACCTCAGACTCCGGCTCAGACGTAAACAGCACTGGATAAGAATTTATTTACATACATACATACATACATACATACAATATAATAATAAGCAGCCGAAGAATAGTAAAAGAAATATCCACTAAAACCTAAACTAAAGCGGAAAAATATACCATAAACACGCTCTTCCAATATTCAAAGATTAATTGCCTACTTAGTTCGCTAAACTTGATTTTAAACTTAGTATGTAGCATTAAACGTCGCACCGCTTACAATTCAAATCAAACTGCTAACTAATTGAAATTCAAAAAAAGATTTGCCGCTGCTCATCTGCTAAGTTCATCAAACTACCAGCGCCTATGGATGCTTTTGCGTCTGCGTTCTGATATCTTAAGACATTTTTACCCAATTTGTAAACATACATACATCCATGCAAACAAATGTACATATTTGGCCTTTAATTTTTTTTTTTTTTGCAAACCCACCCAATTTATTGTCGAATTTTGGCTGGAGAATTATCTATTTATTTACATATGCAGATATTCAAATTTCTATATGAATTTCATTAGCAAAGCAGCAAAACGGGTTAGCTGAAAGTGGCGTCGAATAGACGTAATACCTTTTCTTGTAAAAGGTATTTTATCCGTTTTTTTTTTGTTCTACGTCAGAAATTTTTTTTTTTTAATATATTTTTTTAATTTTGTTCCCTTAGTTTTATTCCAGCGCATTGAAGACTATTAAAAATAATCATAACGTCACCTTGAATTTTAAATTATATTCTTACGTGAAACCCTAATGATGTCCAAACAGCTTTTTTGAACCATCAATCTTTATGCTATAAATAATTAAGCATTGGCATTTAACGCTTAATTAAGCGTATAAAGATTTGCGGTGAAATATGATTTTTAGAACCATTTATTTGATATTCTTTTTACGCGAGTGTTACTAATAGAGCGGCCCTTTTAAACTTTCCGGCTTGGTTCGGAGTGCATAAGAATGCTACCAAAATGCTGTGAGTGCAAAGTACTATGAATAAAAATCTACTAAACAAGATCTTTTTTCATACTTTTATTAAAAAAATATCAAATACTTACTCCGAATAGGTATTTGTTGCGTGTGTTTCTCATAAAATCACCCTTCAAACCAATCGGTAATGCTTTTATGCAGCAAAAACTTACAATTTTTCGGAGTAATTCGGAGTACCTAGAAATGTTGAAAACATGCAGTGAATGCAAACTTCTATAAATATAAGTCTAGAAAATAACAAATTTTCGCTTACTTTTATTTTAAAATGAACTCCGAAAAAGTCCAAAGAATTCAAATTTTGTTACAGAGTACCCTGCATTGCATCTCAAAAGCATGAAAAATGCCTCTCAAAATTTTTGGAGCATTCGGAGTTCTTAAGAATGATTTTAAAAAATTTCGGAGTAATTTGGAATAGCTAAAAATTTTACCAGAGTTCTTTGAACGGAAAATACTATGCACGTAAAGTTACAAAACAGCAATTTTTAGCATTCTCTCTTGCTCTAAAGTGATAAATTATCATGGGCGAAAACTTTTTTCAATGCAAAGGGTGCAAATCTTCCTTATTACACCAATTTAAATTTTGTTTTTAAAACTGTAGTAGCTTTTAATTTTTTGGAAAAAAATCGAAACTAAATAAATCTCAAATTAGCAGCCAATTTTACGAAAGCAATTTAAGTGAAAAATTATTTTAATTTCTTGTATTTTGTATAGAAATTGACAGAAAATAAAAAATCATTTTCATTTAAATTGCTGGTGAGACCGGTTATAAGACTACTTTTTAGCAGTTCAAAAAACTTACTCCGAAATATAATACAATAAAGAAATTGCTAATATATTGCAGCTCTATTTAAATTCTATAGAATCATAGGTTAAATTATTCGCAGTGGAACCTTGTTTGAGTGATTTGAATTGCTTCTAATAAATTTTAAAGCGAAAAATTCGGCTAAGTAAATGTGTTATTTAAAAATAAACTTTTCTAAAACTCATCTATTATTATTTTATTTGAATGCAAAAATTTAAATAAAATACAGATGTACAAATGCCCGTAGTTTAGAAATTTAGTTCATAAAATGCTCATAAAATTATACTAGCCTGATAAAAAATATTTCGGAGTTTTTCGGAAATGTTCGGAGTTATTAAATTATTACGAAAACTGTTTAGAACGGTGAAAATTATATTAAAATATTTTTCATACATTATTAAGAAATGATTTCAATTTTTTCGGAGTTGTTCACACGTAGTACATTTTGCACAGAAGTAAGTAATTAACGTGTATTTAGGTATTAGATAGATTTATATATATTTTGTACGTTGTAGGAAGTGATTTTGAAGTTTTCGGAGTTTTTAGGAGTACTTAAAAACTACGAAAATTATTTAGCTTAGTTACTCAATTTGTAGCAAATAACAAATAATGACCATTGCCTTTATTCCTTGGAAATAATCCCAGCTAATCAACAACATAGCCACAGCAAACGCAACTGCCGCCAAATTTGTGGGTTAAACTGAAGTTTGGCCACAAAACGACTTTAAAAGTAATTTTCGGTTTGCCAAGAAGAAAAGTTAAAAGTTATACTTTAATACGTTTCAAAATGGGTTTCTCTTAACTAATAATATAGCAACAACAAAAATACGAAAACAACCAGTACGTTGATGAAAGGTTGAAGGTGGAAAAGTTAACAACACAATGAATTTTCTAACAACAAAATAAAAACTGCAATCGTAATAAAGTTGTTTAACAGTTAAATCTGTAATTCGCTTGGGAATCATTTCGTAGTGAAATTAAAATGGGAAGGCATAGGGGGTTGAAAATCAAAAGCTGTATTCTTAATAAAATTTTCGACAGCACTTTGGGCAAAGTGAAAGAAGGAATAGGTTGAAAGGAAAATGATATGCGAAAATGAGGTGAAGGTAAACGGAATGAAGCCAGTAAGCAAAAGTCCCAGGTGTTAATGAAAGCCAATGTCTACTTATCACAAGAAGGGTGGAAAGGAAGGTACAGCTTATTATTTTTTTTTTTTTAGTTAGACTGCGCGTAGGCCACTGAAGTGCCCATAAGAAAAAAATTACATTTTACAATCGTACACAAAAAGAAAAGTTGCGCATATTGCTGCCCACTACAAGTAAAATAATAAGAAAATTTTATTATCATAAGGAAAATTATTAATAAAAACGAAATGAAGATGCCAGTGAAATGTTGAGTGCGATTTCGTGAATGTAATAAGACGCCAAAAAGGATTTGCTGAACAACAACAAAAAAAACACAATGCACACAGTAAAGGTGCGAAATTCAAGCAGCAAAGAAAGTAAAAGCACAAAATGAGAAAGTAAGCTTCGCTGGTCGTACGCACAGTTGGCTAAGCTGGAATCAGCTAGAATGCTTGTAGAGGATTTAAAATCGCACTGAAATGCAAATTAGTTTAAAGACTAGCTACCAAGTAAGTGGCACTACAGAGTACATGGATAAGCCAAGGGGAAGGGGAAGGAAGGGGGATGCGTCGGATTACCGCAAGCTGTTTTCATTACACATTACGCACACAATCAGTGTTGGATTGTTTAAGATTTGGTTTTGAAATTGGTTAATCAACAGGCAGCAAGGTGGGAAATAAGATTTCGAAGTGCAAATAAATATGGCTGTGTATGATTAGAATTTCACAAAATTCAATGCAGTAGCTCACTCGAAGATTATGGAGAATGAGTGCGTTGAAGAAAAGTACATGCACCTAAACAAATACTAATTAAAGATTTTCTTAGACAAAGAGCATATTGTAAACTTGATGAAAACTATTTTTATTTTTTATTTTTATTTTTTTTCTTTGTGATAGTTCAGGCACCTTGCTTAACTCGCAGTATAGCTTAACTTATTTGAATTTATGCCACAACTCAAACTGATGTCCTTTGACAAAATCTGTACCTTTCGGTGTGAGAATGTGCAATGACTTACTGTAAGGAAGTTGATAAGAATTTTCTTTTCGCTTTTGGTACTGCCTTGTTTCCCTTAGGTTTTTTTTTTGGGCCTAAGTGTGCTGGCGCCCTCTGGGCCTGGCAGCCACTTCTACCTAACCTACCTTAAACTTTTTAGTCAAAGTACTTCTCATATTAATTGATTTATTTTTCGGAGTTTTTCCTAAATAGTCCGAATTACTCCGAAAATCTGCAAAATGTTATAAAATACTTTAACAAAGCATTTACAAAGTGTCCAGTTTTTTTAATTACTTTAAATGCCATCGGCCATGAAGGCCATGAAATTTGCACATGATTAAGTTTACTTTTTTGTTTCTATAAAAAATATTTTTTTTTTGTCAGATTTTGATTAAAGAATTTTTTGTTGCGAGAAAGTGGAAAAGGGCGAATGACTTGTTCAATAAAAAGCAGGAATTAATTAACTTGTTTAAAAGGAAGCCAGAAAACTACAAATGATTTACCACTGCTTAAAATTAATAATAAATTAATTTTTCGATGGAATTGCTAAAATGAAAGAACCTTTTAGTCAAAGTCTTTCTTATATTAATTAGTGTATTGTCGGAAAAACTCCCCGAATTACACCAAAAATTTTCAACTTTTATAAATTTCTTTAAACAGGATCTACAAGCTGCGCAGTCGTTTTAAGGCCTTGCGTTCTTAGATATCATTTTCCGAGCTCTATATTCACTTTGTACAGTGTGTCGAGTTCAATAGTTTAAATGACCTCAAATATATTGACATTTTTAGAGTATTTATGATTACTCCGAAATACTCCGAAATTGTTTCCTTTGTTAAATACAACTTAAAAATGCAGCTTTAACGCCATTTAATGTGTCGTATCGTTTCTGAGCCGCTGCAGCGCTCTTCGGAGTAAGTTTGTATACATGAAATATTACAAACTGATTCAAACCTCCGAAAGGCTGTTAAAATTCCAGACAACTTCGTTAGATTTCACGTTGATTTTTAGACTTGATGTTTAGCGCACACTTCTAAGAATTCTGTTCCACCGAAAATTTTAGTAATTCGGAGTTTTCCCGAAGTACTCCGAATTACTCCGAAAACTTCTAAAATATTGAACATCAGCTTTGACGTTAAATGTTATTTTAAGACTACAAAACTTTGAGTTCCTCCGAAAGACACTAAAAGGCATGCGGTTATCTACTTCGCTAACAGATTCCACACCTATATTCTTCTTAGCTAGGATAGTCTACCTACATACATATGTACAATACTGAGCTGCCAGTCGTATAACTTTAATTACTTTCAACCCACAACGCTTACCAAAGTACTCTAGGATTAAGTGATTTTTTATAACCTTTAATACAATTACATACTTACACTTTTTTAAAAGCACATAAAGCAAATTTTTATACGCTTTAGCTGCGTTTTCATATCACGTACGTGCTTTTAATAAATTACGTACTCGCATGTCGGAAGCCAAACGCAACGCAAGAGTCTAGAGAGAAAAGGAGCTGGGGGAGAGAAATAAAAAGTGAGACAACGCATTAAGTATGCAGAGCCATTACTACATATTAAAGGAACAAAAGCAAGCCAAGAAAAGTGGAAGGATGTCAGTGAACAATTCGAAAAAAATTTAAAGGACTATAGCGAAAATGTAACATTATTAGAACAGTAACTATTTTGAAAAATGTGGTTCAGACAGAATTTGAAAATGCCAATGTATACAATTTTAGAGGCGTTTTTACGCGTAGTCTTTAATCCTCGCATCCATTGAAATTTGTTACCTAAGCAGATTCCTAAAAACATTCTATTTGTACTATTTCCTTATTCTGCGCCAGTTCATTGGTCTGTTGAATAATATTGAAGATTTTCTACATAAATAGTACTGTCACCTTCCATGCTTTCGATTGCATAACTCGTCTAATTAATACTCGTACTCACACACTTTTAAGCCGCACAAGCATTAATATTCATCGCCAATCGATTGTATTAACATAAAACGAAAATATAAAAACGAAAAGAACGAGACATTAAAAAGCATAAATTAGTACATTGCGTGACTTACTACATACATACATATCTAAACATATCTTTAGTATTGTTTTAAGCTAATTTAATTTCGTTTAGAGAAAAACAGATTTCATATTCAAATCGCTAATATTTGCAAAAAAACAGATATTCTGGTCGAACTGTTTTATGCCCATATTTATGTAATCGTTTCTCGCCGTCTGGAATTTATGTATTAAAATTAATGAGTGTCTTTTTTTTTAATACTCTTTTCGGACTTGCTTTAAGCAGACAGATAATTTGTTTGTGGTTTTATAGCAATAGGCTTCTTGCTTTTTAATTAGATTTCTAAAAGTTTAGCAACAAAATTATAAGTTTTTGAGTCCGTTTCTAAACAATTTTCATTTTTCTAGCTAACTTAAAGCTTATGGACAACGTATGAACAAATTCTATTTTCGTATGGAAGAAAATTCTCAACACACTCGACAAAAAAAAATCTAAAAAATCAACGGTAATTTTAATGATTTGTTATACTAAAACTTATTGTGCTTCAAAACTGCATACTTTAAAATTTTCTGAATAAAAAGTATGAAATTTTTATGAAATTATTTGGAAGTTTGATTAATTTTGTGAAATTTGCGCAATCTTTGAAACTGTCATTTGTGTGGTTTCATTTATAAATCGAATTACCAATATTGAACATTAAAATTATTAAAAATAAATAAATAAACATTAGTTGCAAACAATATCATTTTGAATTTTGTAGCAAATGATCTAAAAATTTCACGAAATTCCTAATAGTTTTCTGGTAGTCTTTAATTTTTATCAGTACTCCACTTATTAGTTAAGTTAAATTTTTATTAAATAAAATGTCGCAACTTTTTCAAAATAATCCGGAGTTTTTTCGGAGTGCTCAAGGTGTAATTTAAATTCTTTTTTTTGTTTTAGTATTTACATATGAGTATTTAGATAGATCAAAATGTAAAACTTTAGTCGAAACTCGATGGTCCAACTACTTGGTAATCCGAATATTCGGTAATCCGAGTGGCTGTTCTTACAGCATTAGCAACCCAGTAATCCGAATTGATTGCAAGTCTATAATAATACGAATCGCATGTTTTGCTCAGGTCTTCCAGTAAATTTGTAACGGAAATGTAACGAACTGTTACGGTAAGAATCGCAACTCAGCGCAAGTGTGCATATTTATCAATTTAGGTGGTGTGCTGATAGTGATAAGACGAAAAAATAAGAATGATTTTTTTTTTTTCTTTTTATATTAATATACTGCGTCTCAAACATATGACCACGTGTTGATTTCTTTTCATATTTTATTATTGTTATTTTTCTATAAAAATACCGTCCAACCTTTACCCAAAAACCCGTATAAATCACAGTTTCAAACTTTAAACAAAATTTAGGAAAAATCAACAAATTTTCATCAAAATTTCATCTTTTTTAACGGAAAAAATTAGCTCGAAAAACATTACGAATATTAAAGAAAAAAATGATCACATCGCCATTTGTTTGAGTCACTGTATATAAACTTTAGTATGCCATTTTATAAGTCTCCCATAAATTTAAAATGCTAGCTTTTTTTCACTAAAACTATTGTCTTCTTTAATAAACTTGCATATTCTAAAGCTACCCGACTCGGTTCTGTTACAATTAGTTCGAATTATCGAGTTTTAACTGTACTCAAAATGCTCGGTATCCCCACTCAGTTTTGAGTATGTTAAATTTACAAAATTACATTTCTTTTGTTTCTCGAAGTTAGTTGTAAGCTTGCTTTGCAAAATTGTATGATAGTTAATAAATCTCAGCTAAGCTGGGAATTTGCTGAGAGTTTTCTGGAAACACTTAGCATCGGTTAGAGTTTTTGGAGTAAATCTTAATCTTTCGGAATAATTCCGAATTTTTCGGAGTTCGAAAAATATTTTTAATGCGATCGTGGTCAATTAAATTTTATAAAAAAAAATTCTGAGTATAAAAATAGTAGTCTCTGTTTACAACCAGCTGTGTGACCAGATTGCACCTTTTGAAGCTAGATTTAGCATTTAGTCTTATGTCATAGCCCCAGACCTTATGATCTAGCCTCGCAGCTTCCTCTACCAGGCAAAGGATGTTAGATTTTTTTTCACTGAGAAGAAAATGAACAACACCGCAAAGAAAAAATTCTCAAAAATAAACGGGATTTTTAAATTTTTTTTGCAGACTCCGTTTAAAATATTTGACAGTTTGATGACGATTTTTTGAACTTTGCCGAGTTATTATGAATCTGATTAAAAGTTTAGAACTGTGAGGTATATGGTTTTTGTTGTAGCATGAATTCCATTTTCCTAAAAAAAATCTAACTAATAAAGGACAAGTAAATGGTAAAAACTTTAACGACAAATCGTTTCTAAATACCGGGCATTAGGGTTGTTCAAAATAAGTAAGGTCGGAATTTTAATTCTATGCTAGGGGGTCATTGTTCTATATCACAAAAAGATATACACCTGTTTTTTCTTTATTTTGAAATCAAAAAATATTTAAAAGTTTTCCATGTATTTTATTTGAAAATGCGCACGTGAAAAATTTTCGTAGAAATGATATAGAATTCTTGAAAACCAATATTTTTCTATAGTAGCAGTCTGTTTCTCTTCAGGAGACTTCTAATAATAATTTTTTAATATTAACTATTTTTTATAGGACCCCCAACTTTTTGCATATGCATTTTAGGATGACCTTAGTATACATACATACATATGTATGTGGAATGTATTCACCGCTCAAACATTATAAAGTCAATGGAAAGTACCATTTCATTGGAGAAAAAAATTCTTACCGGTTTTTGGACCTTTAAAAAAAAATTGTCCAAAGAAATTTTCTTTAAACTGTACTTTTATACAATTTGATTTGTTGGTTTTCTTATCTTTTCTGCTTTGCTGGCATTCACTTGAGTTTAAATACTTAATATTCATACATATGTGCATTTATATCACGCAATATTGCATTTTGATGGAATAGATTTTCTTTAAATTTACAAAATTTCTTTAAATGCACGTATGTAGTTCCATACATACATACTTATAATTTTGTTCGTAATATTGCATTTTGATAGGAATTCATTTTCTTCCTTCGTTTTATTTTCTTTATATCATTCCCACCACCCTGTCTTGTGTTGCTT